AGTGACAAGGCAATGTGCTGAGTTTACCCTCACTACTCAGAAGTACATCTGAAAGTCCTTTTCTTTCTTAAAACACTTTTCCTATTCTTGAAAATAATGGGAAATAGCAAAACATAACTGCCGGTGAAAGCAGCCGACGTTTTACCTGTCCCTGTTGCTGTAAACTCACAAAACTCACAAGTCATTAACACAACTTTAATTATATTGGTAGATGTGTACTAAAAAGAAAAGCATTCACAAAATCACACTTGTTAGTACGGAATCCTGTTCTTAGAACAAATTTATGTATATACACCTTGAGCTACTAGGGACTTACTTTCTCTTCATAAAATGTAGCACTATGAGAAAAGGAGATTTTGATAAAATTTCTTTACTTCATTGACAGGTTTTCTCTAAAATCAGTGACATCAAAAGTAATATTTGAGAGAGGTTTTAAAGTTATTTTAAAAAACAAATACACATACTTTCTGACAGGAAAGAGAAAGCTTGTGCTGAGATGTACAAAACCACAACCTACTGATGCTCTGATCATTATTCCCTGCCCTCAGTTACTGGACTACATGCCAAAACAGCTAAGATGACAGGGTCCGGGAATAATTGTGCTGGAGCTTTAGAGCTGCCTCTGGGTCTGCCACATTGTTAGACTGTCCATGTGCTGCTTGTCTTCCTCATCCTACCGAATGCCATTTCCTTGCCTTTCAAAGTTTTTTCCTATAATTTGTCTCTATTTTACCCATTCACAAATAACATTCACCAAACCCTGTATACATTCTGCTATACATAAGGTGCATATAGCAGACCTCCAAACTGTGAGTGCAGGTTTTGCTCAGCTGGGCAGATGGATTTAAGAAGCTCATGCCTGCTGGCCACAGAAATGCGTACCTGGAGCCTTTCTGCTGGAATGGATTCTGCACACAAAGAGCATGCTCGGGTTTCAGTCTTATGTCTTCACAAATACATACCACACCCTGTTAGTGAAGTACCCATTTCCTATTTTAATGAACACATTCCTTTTTTCTCTAACTAGATCCTCGCCCAATCTGGAAAACTCAGACTTGGCTTCAGATTTCACACACCCTGTTCAACTCAGGAAAGTTTAGTCTGCTGTCTGGAAGCAACTTAAGGATACCCAGAGTTGGATTCAGTTTAAATTTTGTATTCTGCCACTGAGATAAAAATGGAACTGTGATATTTTAGGGGGTGCCTGTGTCTACACTGCTCTGACAGAAAGCTCCTGAGGGTGTCCAGAATATTCTGTGTGTCTCTACACCAAAGGTGTTTGGGTCATTCCTAGCACACCTCCTGTGGGTATGCACAAATTAAAACCTGGGCTACAGGTTTTGTGGTATGCACTAAGCCATCTACTACTTAGCCTCCCTTTTTTTTTTTCACACTCTGCAGATGTTATGATCACACCATGCAACCCTACATCAGACAGAGGGTCCCATAGAAAATGGCAGAGGAGGAGCAGAAAAAACAGGGTCACAGCCAGGTGCAGGCCCCACGGTTGTCAGCCCTCCCCACAGGTTCCCAAATGCTGATGCTGTCTGAATTTGCAAATAGAGGCTGCACTTTTGCATGGAGGAAGGACAAGGCAGCACAGAGATGCTCATTGATGCAGGGACCAACTAGGCCAGCTGTGGAGATGCCATCACTACCAGCCCAGCCACAGAATGTCCACAGGCCTGATGGTGAGCCAGCCCTGAGTGCAGCATGAGCGTTCCCAGAACAGCAGTGATACATCCCTTGCAGATACAGAGCATGCCTTGGAGACACAGTCAGGGATGTAACCCCCCCTCACAGGGGGTTTCAGCACCCTTCAGAGGGTGTTTTGAGATGTGGGAAGGTGGACAGTCAGGGCAGTTAGCCTTGATGACACCTTCAACATGGCTACAAAGCACTGGGCTTTGAAGTCCAGCTATCGTAACAACTATCTCAATCACCCCATTTGTAAACCAGCATTACAACATCCTGCACAATTAAGGGCTTGTCAGCAAAAAATTAGATCCTTTAGGGCAAAGCTGCAGCTAGCCTTGCATAGTGTGCTGCAAAGCAAGGTTCTGGGCCTTCCTCTCTTGCTGTCCTTGCGTAGTGCTTTCTCAAAATGGACATTGGTGCCCCACTGGGAATACAGATGCTCTGTAACAAAGGCGAGAAAGAGCCCTCAGGTAGGCGGGAAGGAGGAAGGAGATCTAACACAGCTTCCTACCCTTTTGGCCTCAGTTTTGATCCGTGGATCACAACGTGATGTGATTGTTGATCCATGGAAGAACCAGCCCGCATTCTCCTTTATTTGTACACACATCAAGAGGATCAAAGGGGAGATACTACTGCTTTTCCAAGCTCCACTCCAGTAGCTCCACACTACCCATTGCCAGCTTGTATTTCACAAGCGCAGGCTTTCTCCAGTGACAAGAAACGTTTATCTCATCAGCTCCTTAAGGCCCAGTTTTTGCACTAAGAACAAAACTGCCTTTGCCTTTTTAGGTATGGCAGAAAATACTAAGCATGCATTGACAGATTGAAAAAATAGTAACAAATTGCCTTCCTAAAAATATTTAAAATGCATATTAGGAACCATTATGAAAAGACACTAATATCACACAACACAGATGACATTCTTATGTCCAGAACATCCTGACCTGAATCTATCTTTATTCAGTACTTTCATGAAGATGGAGTAGTCTCTGGGGACTTCAGTGAGCACAAAGACACAAAGTCCAGAGTAGGGAAAACAGTGATTCAGAAATGTCCTTCCTCAACCCATTACAATGCCTCTTAAGCAATATTTCTTCACTTTAACAGGCCAAGAGATCATGAGAATTAACTACTGTTGTTAATTGTGTTTATAGATAAAACAGATATCACAGATTGTGTTTATTACATTTGGGGTTGTGGAGAAATCATACATTGCATTGAATGATTGTGACAGTTCTCCTGCAAGCCCATTTCTTGCTTCTCAGCTATAAACAGTGCTCACAACACATGTGAAAAGGATCACGCTCCATTCTGAGGTGGGAAATCGCTGAAGAAAGCTGTTCTGGTAAACAAGCCCTTCCTGACTGCTCTCTGAATAATTGGCAGTGAGCACAACTCCTGGATCGCTCTGCTGACAAAAACTGCCTCACTCCTCCCTGCTGCTAAAGCAATGCTGTGTGTCAAGGAAGGGAAGGCCGAGACCACTAATATGGAAACTGAGGAGTCTGATGCCAGCATTAGAAAAATCCAGACAAAACAGCACTCTTTAGCAAACCATCTCCTGGGTATGGCTCAGGTCTCGGCTCCCATCTCAGCTGTTGATACCACAGTCTCCCTGCCAGCTCTCACCACAGGCTCGGAGGTGCCTCAGCCCCACAAGGCAGACACAACAGACGTGTTTTGCCAGGTCAAAGATTCCTGTGGATGAGAATTTCACAGCCTCCATGCAGCCTCTTTCAGCACTCCTTAGATGGGTTTTTCGAATATCTGACTGAGTCTTCTGTGCTACAGCTTAAGCATGGGTTTTGCTGTTCACCAAGAACATGGAGAACAAACTATCCCCTTTTGCATACTTCTTGGATTACTTCTGAACATCCTAGACAAGGTTACTATAACTGCTAACAATATTTTTTCATATATAAAGACTGTTAAGTGTTTGTATATCATCCTGTTCCAGAAAGTGAATGGGATGAAGCAGTACTGCTGCCTTTAGTCACCAGATGGAAAGTACACATAAGGGATCACAAACCTCTTCTCTGTTCAGCTGTGTCACACAGCATCTCCAGTACCTGAATCACACAGCATTTAATGGTCTATTTTCCCTCTTCACCAATCACATGCACAGTGCTAACTGCAGCCGTGCCAGAAGTCCCATTAAGTATCCCTGCCAGGGAGCCTGGGAATTCTTTGCATTTCATTCAGTAAGCCATATTTGCATGAGCATAAGGTATGCCAGCTGACTTTGCTTTTACTAAATATATCATGAAGTTGATAGAAACATTCTTTGCTGCAAGCAAACACACTGGGGCATATTCATACCATCCCCCTTGAGAGTTTGCACAAGTCACCCTTCAGAGATGCCCAGCACTTTCCATCAACTCTATAAGGAACACAGGGTCCTCAATTTTGGTTCATCTGATTGTACCTCTGATATCTAAAGTAGGCAGTGAGTCACTCTTGCAACAGCACCAACATAGGTGCTTATCTCAGCATAGCACTTTTAGTGTATCCAATGTTTGAACAAGATCATGCACAACCAACCTTCCATAAGCGTTCAGGCTAGCAAATCTCAATAGCTCAAATACTTCCAAAATAAGCAGCCCAGTCCTGACTAAAATGTAAGTGAAAATACAGGAACTATTTTGTGGTCTTCAGTCTAATAGTTATGATGAGGCATCTAAAGCAAAAGACTTCATTTTGAGTCAATGGTCAGCATATACACCCTTTACACAGTTAATACTGAGTTTCACAGTATAGATAGCATATTCCAAACTTCTTTGGAGATATCCAGAACTTCAGAGACAGAACCTGTTTAGTTACCACTGACATTTAGAATATGCTATTTGTTTCCTTTCTCCTTACATTTGACAGTTACTGCTTAAGAAAGGACTTTGATATAGCCCATGATATGCCTGAGGGTATTTTTTAAAAAGCAGGTTGGGTGAAAAGGAAGAGAATGAATACATGAAAATAAAGCCTGATCTAAATTAGTAAGTTACATGTTCCCAGATGTTTGCTTCTTGAGATCTCGTATAGAGCAACTGCACCAGTACAGCTGTAGTCTGAGCTTTTCAGTTGTCACTAAATCTTTATTCCTTTTTCATAAGCTGATCTCATCCAGAGTGATGTTGTTTTCACCTCACATCATCTGTACAAACAAATAAAATATTCCCTCCCCAACAAACACAAGCACAAGCACACACATACTCCTCTCTTTGGTCTGTGTACAGTAGCTTGGCACCAAAAAGATAAGTGATTAAGTTTTAACAAATGTCAAAGGCAAGTGGCTCACAGACACTTACCTGGAGATCAGAATGTGGTTTAGGTGCTTTCTGAAATTCAAATTAGCAAGTGTCTTTCTTCCTGCCTTCTACTACACTTCAGGGAATGTTTGATCTGCAGAAAGAGAATGAGACTCAGAAAATGACTAAGAGATATACCCCCAGGATTCCAGGGCTCAGACTTCCCACTCCCCAGCACTGCCACTCTATCTGGGAGCAGGTGAATAATCAAGGTTACTCTTGCTTACATGGCCATACTGAAAGGTGCTAATGTAGTGTACTGTAGAACCGATTCCCTCATAAATATTTAGATCAAGGATTTCAGCACAGAACAACATTACAATTAACAATTCAAAATGCTACCACTGAGTTATTTTTGACACTATCAGCTGGAAGTGAGGAGACATGCCTTTGTTAAGTTACAATGTAGTCTATCATTTGTAATACAATATCAATGATACTGAACATTCTAGTTTCATACTGAGTTGTTAAATTTGGGATTAATCCTTTCCTGGATATTGATGTAATCTTGGGTATTGATATAAGCAATGTAGAAAGTACAGGGGACATGGGAAGAAAAGCTTGTAAGACCAAGGCACCTTGAAGCCTTTACCTTTTCTGTGTGTTTTTCTTGTAGTTCTCCCCTTCAGTTCCAGTCCCTCACCAAACTGAACTTGCAGAGAAGGCAGCGGTGTGGGCATGAAACATGCACACAGCACATAGAAAAGAAACCCCTTAGAAGTGACTCTTCCGAGGTTGAAGATGGACTAAACACAGCCCTGTCAGAGCATGCTGTTGACTGCATCTAATTTTCTAAGTGACCTGTTTCCCTACTCACCTGTTTTCCTTTCCTAGTGCAAGGCAAGGACAAAGGCAAATTCATACATTTGAAATGTATATATATGCTTCTCATTAATAAGAGCCCACTTATATATAAAGAAGATGTACAACTGCTAAGTCTTATTAACAAAGAATCAGACTACCCCACCCTGTGACTTGCTAATCGGTTATGTACCTGTGGGTACAGGATGTGCTGTGTACCTTGAAATCTTTGCAATGATCCTCTAACTTGCCTTTGAGTGCTGCTAATTTTAATGTGGCTATTTTTTGCAGGCAGCAGGTAAGAGCTGACTGCTTTCTGAAGTTTCAAGGAGATTTAAAAGGATATTATTTTTATTTCTGTTCTTTGGAATATTCAACAATCTATTCTTTAGACTGATGTAGTCAGTTCAGAATAGGTATCATAGCAGCAAGCTTGAATTTCAGTGTAAAAAGCAACAAAGAAATCACTCTGTTCATCTTGTTTTAAAGATTTTTTTCAAGATAGATATGTATGTGTGTGTCTATATGTACTCGTATATATGTGTGTGTGTATGTATATATACACACATACATAAATGTCTATTTATAGTTCTGTTAAACTATAGAAGTGAAAAAAGGGAAAAGCATTGAATAACTCATAAAATTTTCTTCCTTTATCACTCAGGTCCAATTCGCCCACATAAACATAAACCCAAACTGGATTCTATCAAATTACAGATATTACAGATACAACTGCTGGATTATATCCATTTCCAAAAAAAAAAAAGTAAAAAAAGTCTTCCTAGTCAGCACTGAAGCACTGGTAGGGTTTCTATGACTTCAGCTGCAGACAGGCATCTAGATCTGGAGCAGCCATCCTCATCTCTGTGCACAGTCAGTGTAGATGACAGAGGCCAGGGATTAAGACATCTCATCCTCAGCAGAGATCTAAAATAAACCATCTGAATTAGTTACAGAAATATCCTCTTCTCCCACTGTTAATAAGGGGAGCCCAGAATAACTAGCTCAGGTATAGACATCTACCCCGGATGTTGAAAGTCATGAGACATTAAACATTCATTGTGTCCACTGTCTGACAAACCTTAAACAAACCAGCCTATGCAAGCTGAATTATGACCACAGGAACTGTGTCACACAATTCATATCAATATATAAAAATATTCCAAATATACTGTTATCTTCAAGTCACTGCAGGGAAATCCAGCTAAAATCTGCTCTCCAGGAATACCAAACCAGATCCATTGAAGAGTTTATATGTCAGTAAAATACTCTCCTATGGCAACAGGGCTTTGACTTTAGTGAAACTGGGCCTTACGCAGAGAATATTCTACTATAGTGTTGACTAATTTAGATTGCATGGCTGCTTTTAGAGGAAGGCAGTTAAGAATTAACTAGCATGTTCTGTATTTGTGAACTATGTATGTAATTCCCCAAACTCAAAGATCAGTTTATATATATCTAAAAATAAAGCTCCATACATAGTTTCCCAGTAGACAATTGCTTACTCATTTAAAATGTATGTTTACTTAAAATTTTGCTCCCTGCGATGGCCTTATGAAATATACATTTCATTTTAGCATGGATTCCCAAAGGAGTCAGCTGCCAGGCAGCATTTTTCTAGGTCCTTCAGTACAAACCATGTAAAGCAGGACACTAAATCTGCAATAGCAGGCAACACGCAGGAATTAGAGTTTCAGCTCAGTTTCTGCTGACAGTGCCTGAGGAGTACCTGGATCTGAACAATTCTGTTAGCATACTGGATAATTCATTCCCAGCAATTTGTTACCTGACATTAATTTCCTACATAGCCTTAATATCTGAATGTGCTCCATATGAAATCTTTTTTTCAGGAAGGTCAGGGGTTAATAGGAAATGAATGCCTAAGTAAAAGTTCCATAGTTATGTTTTCAGTATTTTCGCATCCCAAACTTCTGCTACTCCCAGAGCAGTTTTAGCTGCTTTTGTATTAGGCAATGGAGATATTAATTCTCCCAGCTGGAAATCTGTATTAAATTCTGTCTCACATTTTGAAAGTACGAGGAAAGAAGAAAAAAAAATGGAGCTAAGAAAATAAAAAGTGCATAAAGTCTGTAACAAACTACCAGTGAATTCAACCAAAAGACAATGCTATATATCACATTAAATACAAGTCACATAGACTATCATCTCCATAGTTAGACATAGTCAAATAATATCTGCATACCAATGAAAGGATATGTTCACAAATAAACATTTACTGGAGCAGTTTGTCATGTTTTGAATGAGTATAATGTTTTACTGTATATTACAAATCCTTCAAAATCAATGTCATAGCCAGTCAAAACAATAAAACTGCATTACAAAGTTTTGGCTAAAATAAAGGACAAAGAAATAGTAGCATAGTTCTTGGCAGGAGACCTAGAGAAATTTATATCAGGAGTCATTTAAAACTAAATCAAAAGGGATTCAGGCACAATTGACTACAAGTAATACCAGCCAGAAAAGTAACCTTTATGAAATGATACTTAAAAAAAACTTTTAAAATGTACTGGTTTGCATCAAAACCTTTCCCAGAATAAATGTCTGGAAAGAGTTTGACAGATGTGACAGACAAATCTGTTCCTTTCACTCAGCAAATATAAATTGAGATGAAACTTTAGATGGTTTTATAGGGGAGAAGTGAGGTAAACTCCAGAGGCAGCTATGGTTTGTAGTAAGGAAACAAAGATATCTAACTTCGAAGAAAAAAAGTTAAGAAAACAAAGAGCTGGAGAATATAAAAGGTGAGAAACTCTGCTCAAAGCTTTTATGTAAAACTAATAGCAGAGGTGAGTGGTACTCACTACAAAGAAAATGGAAAGTGAGCTGCTCACATATTATTAAATTCAGGATCAGGTCCTTCTCAATCCTTCAGCCCTGCCAGATCTGCTGCATAGCACTGAAATATAGGATAAGAAAACATGGCATACTTTTAGACTTTTCTACAATTAGTCAGGTCTCATTACAAGGAAAATACTAAAAATAAATATAAATCTAAAGGGGTATGAAAGAAGTAGAATAGAAAAACAGGGAAGAAGGAAAATGGCTTAAATCTCTCAACTGTAAGCATTTTTTTTATTTTTAATTACAAACTGACTCTTTCAAGTCTAAATAAGTTATTTACAGAAACCCTAGAGTTCAGAAAAAACGGACATAAACAGGAAATGAACTATTAGTTTTGAAAGAAAACACAAGATCCAACAGGCAACATGGTCCATCATGAAAAAGTTACATAAGAATCATTTTACAGATTTGAAATGTTGAACACTGATATGCACAACAGCACCCTTTTGTTTTAAATAATTGTTAGAAACTTCCCTGGTGCTTCTACAAACAGATAGCTGAAGCGGTACTAGCCCCTGGCCTCGCCACATGTCATATTCCATTTGCTACAGAGATAAACAGCAATATTAACTATGCAACTTTAGGCTCAGAAAGGAAACAATCCCTCAAGCTTCAACAGCAGGTGAGTAGATACCATACCAGCCTCACCCAAAGTGACAGCTATCAGCAGTCACATCTTTCCCCAGGACAGCACACAGAAAAATCCGTCTGTCTCCCAATCAGAGTATTTACCACTTCAGTAAAATGATGAAGATATGTTGTTAGCAGAATTGTTACCCTTCCAAGATTTTAGAAGACTGAACTGTAGTTGTTCCATATAGACACACATTCCTTATAATTGTAGTACCAGTGTTGTGCTCACTTAAATGAAAACTCTTCAAAGAATCATGCAATTCTTTGTGTTGGAATAGAACTCCAAGATCATTTAGTTCATACCCTCTTCCATAGTCAGGAACACCTTCCGCTAGACCAGGTTGCTCAAACCCCATTCAACCTGGCTTTGAACACTGCCAGGGGCAGCCACAGTTTCTCTGGGCAACCTGTCCCAGTGTCTCACTGCACACATAGTAAAGAATTTCTACCTAATATCTAATCTAAATATATCCACTTTTAGTTTAAAGCCATTGCCCTTGTCCTGTCACTACATGCCCTTGCAAAAAGTCCCTCCCCAGATTTCTTGTAGGCCATCTTTAGGTAATGGAAGATTGCTATGAGGTCTACCCAGAGCCTTCTCCAGGATGAACAAGCCCAGCTCTCAGCCTGTTTTCATAGGAGAGGTGTTCCAGCCTTCCTCTGGACTTGCTCCAGCAGTTCCACGTGCTTCTTATGTTCAGGGCCCCAAAGCTGAACGCAGTACTCCTGGTAGGGTCTCAAGAGGGTGAAGTAGAGGAGAATCACTTCCCTCGACTTGCTGGTCATGCTTCTTTTGATGCAGCCCAGGATACAGTTGACTTTCTGAGCTTCCAAGTGCACATTGCCAGCTCATGTTGAGCTTCTCTCCAGCCAGCACCCCAAGTCCTTCTCAGGGATGCTCTCAATTCACTCTACGCCCAGCCTGTGTTTGTGTTTGGGATTACCCCAACCCAGATGCAGGACCTTGCACTTGGCCTCGTTGAACTACATGAGGTTTGCACTGGCCCACGTCTCAAGCATCTCTAGGTCCCTCTACATGGCATCCCTTCCCTCCAGCGTGTCAACTGCAACACACAGCTTGGTGTCATCAGCAAGCTTGCTGTGAGGGCACACTCAATCCCACTATCCATGTCACCAACAAAGATGTTGAAAAGCGCTGGTCCCAGTGTGACCCCTGAGAAACACCACTCATCACTGATCTCCACTTGGACATTGAGCCATTGACTGCAACTCTGAGTGTGACCATCCAGCCAATTCCATGAACACTGAGCGATCCATCCATCAAATCCATGTCTCTTCAATTTACAGACAAGGATGTCATGTAGGACAGAGTCAAAGGCTTCACACAGATCCAGGTAGATGATGTCAGTTGCTCTTTCTTTATCCACCAACACTGTTACCCCCATCATATTTCCCCTTATCAACAACCAGTCCATTTTTTTTTCTCTGCTGAGGATGCAGACTGACAGTATTGAGGTGACATGGTCATCAGAAAAAAGAGACCCTGTTTTCTTCTTCCCTTTCTTGCTCCTTATTCCAGGCTCTATACTACCCCAGGCTGTACAAATGCTGCCACGACTCATTTTCCCAAAGTATCAGCTCTTCAATCCAATTTACCAAGTAGCTGCAGAAAGTCAGAGGGTGCGGAGCTAATGGGGCTGGCAAGAGGGAGCAGGAGGTAGTCAGGGCAGGTTTACTCTCTTTGTCAGCCACGATGCTTCTAATGCCTCACAAACTATGGCTGTTCACCATAACACCTCAGATCAGTTTTATGACACTATCCTGTAAGAGGCTTAAATACTCAGAGCCCTGAGATTCACAGTTGCATACACTAATTGCCTTGCAAAAATACAGGTAACAAAAGCTGTCACAACAATTCATTTCTAAGTTTATTCAATTTATGACTAAAATTTCGGTGAAAGAGCAGATAATGGGAAAAGTGTTGAAAGAAGTATGTCTATAGCTTTGCTAAATAAATATGTATGTATCTACTGTAACTATGTATCTGCTGTTCACTAAAACTGCCATGGTATTATTACGTTGTCTTTTAATATAAAATATATTTATATATTCTGCATTTCTAGCACTTTTTCTTATCTTAATAGATGTATAAACACCTAAGTTCAATTTGTCCATTAAATCACTGATCAAAAAGAAAAAAAGCTTCTGCTATTAAACTTTACCCCTATTAAGTTTTGACGGATTTCTGTACTCTTCATTACTGTTGTCTCTCAAAATATCACCTTCACTTCAGCTGTAAATAGGCAGGGAAAATAGTTCAAACCTTAAAGGAAAACTTCCAAAGAAAAGTGTTTTTTTTCCCCTCATAGCTGAGACCTTTCCCAAGGGAACAGGTGACTTTTGGAGGTGTTAGTGCTTCATGTTTGTAGCAATGGGAAAAAAAGTATATAGAAATAATGGGTTGGCAGAGTATATTATGAAAGGATTGCTCCTATTAGGGGATTCAGGGCAAATAAGAGTCAAGATAAAACAAAGTTATGGTGTAAAGCTTAGAGAATTTGCACTAGTTTCAATATCTTTGCTTCCATCTTCTAAATTGCCAATCGTCAAATGTCATTACTGGTCAGGCTGTTAGCTGCTTATTTGATTACAGTGCATCCCCTTTCTGGAGCGTGAGCATGTCCATGTGTAAAATCACAAAATGTGCTTGTGCAGGTGCAGAAGCTCAGGAAAGCATGAAGGCGATAATTAAAGATAGTTTGTTGCCTTTTTTAATACATAGATACATCTACAACAAAACACAGAAATACCAAGCTGTTTGCCTCTATTCCGTAAAGAATTTGTGGGTGCGTGTACTTCAGTAGTTGCCAACAGTTCTTGCACAGTTTTAATACTAATTTATGATGAAGCATACCAAATAAACCACAAGTTATTTAAGAAAATGAAATAAGGAAAGTTTTGAGGGTTTAGCAGGAAAACAGACTGGAGTGAGAGTAGTCTGATGTAAATGAATAGACAGCTTCAATGAAAATGAAAGAGAAGAAAACTCCCTCCTGGGGTTCATTATGCCTCTTGAGCTGTTGGTAGTAAAGTTAATTTTTAAATGCTTTGAGGTGATTAAGAACTCAGGCATCACTCTAAATGTAAATAAGTCCTGTTTCATTTCCTTGCAGCAGTCACCAGCTACTTAGCTTGCTGATGTATTTGAGACCCGTAGTCTAGTTCATAATTAACCCTCTTCATATGAAGTGAAAATGCCAGCAAGCCTGGTTTAGAATGTATATAACCAGGAAGTGACATACTCACTCACTAGAGAAAAAGAATGTTTATATTTGTAAATAATGAAGGCACTATTTGAAGCAAAAGTATCACAGAGTGAAAATCAACATATAAATGAAAACTTTGCTTCTGCTCACACTGAATGCAGCTCAAAAACACAACCAAAACACATGCAGTTTAGAAACTTAATAGACTAATCATGCATAGTAAAATTTGGAAAACAATTACAGCTGGACCTCTTCCTCCCCATCAGGTCTAGTTAACAGAAAATTTCAACAATCTGTATATGAACATCACATACAAATGAAAAATCTCAGATGATAATCCATTCTTGTACTGTATATATACAAGCAATTAAGATTTAACAGCAATAACCTTGTTCAAGGCGGTATCTGGGACCTCTGAAATCCATATTTGCATTCCAAATCTGTCTCAAAATTGCTTCATGGCTATACAAATGTTTCAGAAGTAACTAAGGCCGTACACCAGTTTGTAATTACCTAATCAAGGACATGCTTAGTTGTTGAAACAGTTTGAAACATTTGAAATATCTCTATTAAATACTAAGGTAACCAACAACCACCTCTGAAAAAGCTGAACTTAAAGTTTCCTACATTTACAAGAGGACAACTAGATTTCCCTTTCTTCAAAGACTGAGGTTAAATTCTTTCACAATTCTGAAATATTTTAGTAATCCATTTTTAGTACAGGTTCTTTGCATCTGTCCTATTTCAAACTTGATCATTCTTGTGCTAAACCTTAAAAAAAAAGCATGTCAATAAGAGCTGAATTCAGGAACTCTGCACTCACAGACTTACTTACAAATCAAATGAAATTACATTTAAACAGCACTTTTATTTCCTCACACATGTCAGTCTGTCAGGGATTCCCCACAACCCACCAGGTAGATGGAGACTGCCATTTGGTCCAAAAATCAGCTTTCTGAATGTCAGCCCAAGGGTGGTTGGTATCAAAACCAAGAAGGTGATTTGCTCAAGGATAACATCCTTCCTACCAGGAATCCCAAAGGTACCTGGTTGCAGCCCCCAGTCTGTGCAGCTCCGTTACTATGGCAGGAAAAGATGCAGTTTCTCAAGAAATTAGATTAAACCATTCAGAGGTTTGTGAACCTCTGAACCAAAAACCCAAAAACATCTCACAGCTGTTGGGTATACCTATGCCTTGC